CAGTGCATCTAATCTGCGTATCTTTAAAGTTGGTTTGCGTAGTCTATTACAATGTTAGCATTTAGTGTCATCGTAACGTTCAAATTTTAGTTGTGTTTTCCTTTTTCTCTTTTCTGTTTTTATTTTTAGTATGTTATATGGGTACGGGGCAGAATATGTTCTTCTAGTCATTTCTGTATTAGCTGTGTTTTTTAACTTGTGCTACTGTGTATTCATAACTGTTTGTCAAAAATAAACTAACTAAGAACTTCATCTTCTCTCGTAAAGAAATCGACGTTTCTTCGCAAGACCTTCATGTCTTCTCTTCCAGAACTCGACGTTTCTACACAAGGAGCTCATGCTTTCTCGGCCAGAAATTTTTATCCAGGTTATCATTATCCGAAAATTTGGAGATCCCCGTCAATTCATATGCAGTTTTGAATGCTCTATCCGATAATGGGTTTGGATTCCAGTAATCAGCTTTTATTTTTTTTCCAAAACGAAAGCTTTTTAAAAAATATCAGAAACGATATATTTTATATCCCGATCAAAATAAGCGACTTTTGATGGAATTTTTACACAGTACCTTAAAGGATGCATATAGCTGACCCCCATGAAATCTGAATCAGTTTTGAATCCGCTTTCGAATGGCATTGTCCGTTTTTCATTTGGCGGAGGCCAGAAAATTGATTGATTGGTTTGGTTTAAGCCTGTAATCTTGATTGATTGATTATATAGACTGATCAGACTATACGAATTATCCTAATCGGGATAATCGTATAGGCCGATCGGAATTTTATCCTGATGGGGGTATAAGTCATGACTCCGCACTGACAGAGAAACGCAAAGCAAACGCATTTTGCACGGGTTCTTTTCCTAAAAATGCGTTTTTACCGTAATGAAAATCAGTAATAAGAAACTTTTTAGCGAAGAAAATGGCACAGAACTGGTCGGTACAGATTGAAAAAAAACATATTATAACGGAGTACGAAACGCTCAAAACGAAATTATGCTTAGTTAAAACTATGCGAAACTCGGAAAATGAATAAATATATAATATAAATATAATATAAAAAGCTTTTGTACTCTCATATTACCAAGATCTGCTACGTATAAATTTCATCTCGAATCAAATCGAATACCTGCTGGAAGATAAAGCTGATTTGCTTGGCTGTTGGGACTATTACCACCAGCAACTAGACTGCCTATCGTGGCATTTGGCAGCCACTTCACTATACGATAATTATTGTAATCTGATATGTAAATGATTCTTGTACTGGGATCAACAATGATTGACGATGGGTCCTTTAATTGATTAAATCCACTTCCCCATCCATTTTCACCTGCTACAGTTGTTTCATTAATTGCATTGGGTAACCATTTTTGAATACGACTATTTCCTGTATCGCACACATATATCCCATTATCATTTACATCATCAAAGCAACTTTTGGAAAAGACATTGGTCATAGGACTGGGAACGCAGGGCGCATCCGGTGCGTACAAGGACGAAAGGATGTTCCTATACTTCCTTTATGACGTGCGCAGGAGCGCACACAAGTGTTTTTGGTCTCCGTGACACGACTATTCCGCGAATTCGTTGCTTTTTGCAGGACAGACACACTCGCAAAGCTCTTTGTCCGTATGTGGTAGGTTATGGGTGAGGTTAAACTAGTTAGATTACTTCACGATTAACTGGTATTAAAATTATAAAAGCGGACATGTTTACCCTAACACGTATGTGTTTTGTTGAAGTTTCACACAAAAGGAGAACTTGAAGGTTCTGAATCTTTGATCTCACTCTTCGTGTTTCCTTATCAATCAATCAAGTTTATTTTGCACGAAGCCAGAATATCACAAAAAAAAGTGCAAAAGACTTGTGGCATCCGTAGATACCACATGGTAACCTCAAACTAAAAGTTTTGATACAAATACAAGAGGAATCTTTATGCGTATATCTTCTAAAATAAAATGGATATATATCTGTCAGACGATTGCGGCTACATATATTCTCGCGGAAAAAAATAGCTGCGCATAGTATTTCAAATATATTGTCACTATAAAAACACATTTTTTTACAACTAATTACATATGTTGGAAGTGCCTGGAGTTCTCTACACCCTGCATAATTACGTTTTCTCTTGTACTTATTCGCCGAAAAATAATTCGAATGCAATGAAGGCACCGTTAACCTCAGATTCCCAATGGTCCGCATTTTTGTAGTACTTTTTCAGTCAACTTTCTAGGAAAGTAATTATATATTCTGATAGCGCTTGAAATTCTCTATCACTCTATATATTTATATATTGTCTTGCATTTACTTTCTGGGAAAAGATCTGAATACAGTACAGGCAACTGCTTTGACAAGCACAAAAATTCACTACTTCTTAGGATTTTTCAAATTATTATTGCTATGGAAATAAATGTTTACAAAAGTAAATATACACTCCGAGAGCGCTTGAAATTCTCTTCATCCTATGTATTTATGTCTGGTCTTGCATTTATCTGCCAAAGAATATTTCAAATATTATCTAGGCACCCTCCTTTACAAACCTAAAAACCAGACTTTTTACTATCTCTTTGGTTTTTATTTCAGATTTATTATTAGTATAGAAATAACTTTTTGCTCACGCAGTTATATGTTCTAATTTCCTGAACTTATGAAATTAAAAACGAAAGAGATCGTATAAAAGTGCAGTTTGTTAGAGTTTTTCAAGGAGGGTACCTACATAGTGCTAGAATTATTCTTTGGCAAATAAGTGCAAGACAAGACACAAATACATAAAATAATAGAGATTTCATGCGCTACCAAAATACATAATTACTTTTGTAAAAGGGTGTTCCTATAGCTATAATAATTTGAAAAAAGTACTGAAGAAGTAGCGAACAATATGCACTTTTTCGTATTTGTCAAAGTAGGTAGCCTGTACTGTATTCAGATCTCCGACAAGTAAATGCAAGACAATATATAAATATATTAGAGTGATAGAGAATTTCAAGCGCTATCAGAATATATAATTACTTTCCTAGAAAGTTGACTGAAAAAGTACTACAAAAATGCGGACCATTGGGAATCTGAGGTTAACGGTGCCTTCATTGCATTCGAATTATTTTTCGGCGAATAAGTACAAGAGAAAACGTAATTATGCAGGGTGTAGAGAACTCCAGGCACTTCCAACATATGTAATTAGTTGTAAAAAAATGTGTTTTTATAGTGACAATATATTTGAAATACTATGCGCAGCTATTTTTTTCCGCGAGAATACACAGTACCTTGGCGGTACGCGTCAAACAACTTAACCACACAGCCATAGCGGCTTAATCATTGGACTGATTATTGGCGTTTAATTTATCATTACCATCCTGTGGTTCAGCTGTATCCATCTTCTCAATTGTAGACATCGTATAATTGGACTACCAATTAGAGCCCTGCAGATTACATGGAAGCAGAAGAAAAAATAAAATAAAACTATGAAGATGCGTTTTATATTATTTATATATGTACGTGTACAAAATAAGAAAAGTGAAAAAGAAAAGATTAAAGAAGAACAGTGTAGAACGGAAAATTCAATGTATGCATACACGAAACAAAAAGGAACTGAGATATTAGGAAGGCAGACTAACCTCTAAAAAACCTAACTGACGTCTAACTAAGTGAAAAAGAGAGAACGAAGACTTGGAAGGATCTGAGAATGAGAGCTAACTAAAGCAGTATCCTCTGATGTCGAGTGAAGAATCCTTACACGAATAATATACCAAAATGTAACCTTGCGCTGCAAAAACGGTGAATGTGGGAAAATGCGCAATCCATCCTGGACCGCGCTATAGCTTGCCCAAAAGAAACCTATGTCTTTCAACGAAAATCTATTTTTCACGGCCCAAAAACACTTTTAAGAAAAAATAAGGTCATATTCGGAATCAGCGCGTCGAGTTGCCGAATTTTTGCCCACGAAGCAACAAGTTCGATTTACTTTTGAAAACGTTGATTTTTGTTTCTGGAAAGCATCACAGATGACTAAGCAATGATAGCTATTGATAAACAATGGTTTACGAGAAAAAATTCACATTCTCACAAAAACAACACAGTGAATTTTCTTCTACCGATCTTTGATGTGAAGCGTGTTTTGCTGACGTGAGACAAAGCAGATTTACTTGTCCTCCCTAATAAAGATTAAACGCCTGTCATCGTTTATGAGATAGGATCACAACACAGACAAAATGTTCGCAGTTTCAAGGTTTCTCGGTAACAAAATGACGTGAAGAGCTCGTGACGGTCATAAAATGACTAAAACGCGTATGACTGAAGGCTAATAGAGCCTGATTTTTTATATTTTACTTTCCGAAATAATGATAGGCACCCGAAGTCAGAAATGTCTCATTGATTTGCACAAAGATATTTGTTTAATCATAAATTTAGAGAAAATATCAAAAATCGGGTTGTATTTCCCTTTAGTCAAAGCTTTTAGCTTCAATCTTAGACCAGTTCTAGCTCTCCACGACATTTTATTACCGAGAAATCCTGCAGCTACGCAATGTGAGCGAGAAGAAACATCATTTCGAGAAAAAAGCATAAAACGTTTTTCTTTCGAAACATGTCAAATATGATACATACGTGTTGAATGAACAATGTGAATATATATATGTTAGCATCCAAAGTGAAATTCAGTCCAACGTAATATTGACCTAATTTTAATCTAATTTCACTTTCGTATGAATAAAAAAATGACAGCCTTGATTTTTCGATCACGAGGGGCAGTTCGCGAGAAACTTGCTAATTTCTTTGAAACTATCCAGCATGACAGACAATGTGATAGAAACTGACAAAATAACAATATTTTCTTTCATTTTTAAGCCTATTTTTGAATTAAATATACAAAGTTCGTTCACATATGACCAAATTACGCGTGCGATATTTACTTTAATTATCAGTGAGATAATAGCTCAATCATCTTTCTGAGTTTGATCAATTATAACACTATTCATCCTTGGTATCACTTGCATTATAGTTAGTCGTTTCTCTTATTGTTAAATGAGATTAGGATCAATATGTTCGTTATAAGTAGTGGCTGAAGCATGATTATTGAAACGTGTGAAAATGTTTTCTGGTTGGAATGGGTTCGGGTTCCTCAAACATTTATGCAAATTTCCTTTTCAGCTCCATAACTGAATCTTCAACCAGTTAACTGAAACTGATGAAATACTGATTTAATCTCATTTTATTACTGAACACATCTGTTATCCATATAAATACACAAATAATCAAAAAAAAGAGCTCATACGCATACAATAAAAAGGCTTTGCTTACGACAAAAGCCGCGAACGATTTTAGACCCGCAGACACAACAATAAAAATATTTTTACGCATTTTTACCTTGGTCTATCCACGCAAAAAAATCGACGGTAGCCCTGGTAATTTTATAATAGGCTTCCGAATCATCTGAATTGCTTTTCCATGTACGGAACGAATCAGGATAAATGCACCCTGTATCAGAGAATAAATCAAATAATTTGCAAGCCAAGTCTGAAATAGAACGAGCAAAACAGTTGTTTTCAAGCTCCCCAAGCCCTGCTAGTGAAGTCAAGCACTATCCTGGCTCACTGTACATCTCATGACTCGCATCGCCGCACACAAGTGGTTATAAGTGTACTCCACTGTAATCACAAAAAATAGAACCAATTCTCCAGCATTTGTACGACACATTCCAATGTATTTCTTAACAGGTGAAGATAGATTAACATAGAAAATCCCTATTGTAGCACATACCCAATGGATGTTTAAATTCTATTACAAAAGTTTGAATGGTATAAATAGCTTGCACTTCTTTGTCTCGTTGCTCTCTGATACATGATAATACAATCGGCATTCTTTGCTTGGCAAACGGCTCATCAATTGTACCATCATTATTGAAATACGCTTTCAAATAGGATAAAACAATATTCTGAATAAAATATTTATCCGACCGATCCAGAAACTAAAACAGGTAAAGTACATTACCAGTACAACAAGGTAAAGTAATTGTACAAATAGTTAGGGATTTAAACAGCTATCGTCTATCACCCTTACTAGATCTCATGGTTTAAGAAATCAAATGCGATTACCAGGATTTAGCTATAGTATTTTTTATCCAGAACAAAGTTAACTTACATGATCAATGTGTGAAATGATTGTGTCATTTGACAAATTTAATCGAAATAATTTGATATTATTACTGTTATCATGCATTCTTTAATACACATTCAAAACTAACCGCTGTTAACTTTTGATCTTGTTTCGCGTCATAATTACACAATTCATTCAATTTTTTCATATTATCCCCAACATGAAACAATGCTCGTTTTAACTGATTAACGTCACTCGGCTGTACATCATGCTTTGTCAGTAATGTATGATCTGGTAATGTGATTTCATTACTGAACGTTGCTAAACACGCTGATTTTGTTCGTTGAAATTCATCGAAATTATTATGTTG